CGTAACAACACGGTTCTGAGGAAGACAAAATCGTCGAAGCGTCAGACATCGATAAGCAATAACAAGAACGACAACACCAACTTCGCATAAGCTCAATAAGATCAGCTCATAAAGGCATATAAATAAATATATCGATTACTTATGCTGCCTCCCAACTGTTTAACGCCTCATTGTGGCTGGGAGGTGTTCCTGGGTGTCAGACTGTGATGTACGGAGGAGGATTCATACCCTGGCAGGGTCTGCCAAACTGAGAAGAAGTCCGGCGTTTCCATCAGGAATCCTAGTTAAGAGTAAGCCAATACCAGGATCCACCACCGTCCTGGTATCAAAGTCGCATGGTGGCTAATTTCCCTCTGACCCATAAAAGCTGCCACTGCCTGTGGTGGTGAAGACCTGGGACAGACTTTGGCCAAGCTGACCTCGTGATTCTAGAGAACCGCAATGGTTTGCCCAGCAAATGTCCGAAAAATGGAGATTAGGCTGGGGCCCGCACAACCAATGGGGACGGCCATTCAAGCACCAAGTAAGTCAGACAAAACTAGTAATCCACTATGCCTGAAGAGACGATTCGCTATTTCTTCTTCAGTTTCCTAGCCGAAGTCCATGAAGTCATCACCTAAAGCTAAAAAAAAGCTCTCAGCGTTGATCAATCCCTGGGGAATGCGCCATGCATTCGACTTCTTTAAGCATCGTTTGGAGGTGACTGAATGCATATCTGACCTTTACAATGACTCGCGGTGGCCTACCGATGTATCGAGCCAGTGCTGCTATCCTCCCAGACAAGTCTGGTATCAATTTGCCGACTCCGGAGGGATGGAAGGCTTGGCGGGCCATGGGCGCGGGGATCGATTCCACATGTTGTGCAGGGCGCCTCCGACCACTGCGCTACACGACGCCATCATATGCAACTAGATATACTTGGGGACCATATCCTGCGTGACATCAAAGCTCAATGTTTTCAAAACAATCGAAAGTAAAGAACTACTATGAATTCACGGTGGAATTTTGAGAGTAACCACACCAACATTGCCAAGAGCAACCAGGATAAGGAAAAAATGTAACCTCTAAAGTTCATCTACTTGAAAAAAGTCTTACACCTCAATAACGAAGCTGCGTATGTTTACACTTTAAACCAGTAATTTTCGATGTATCATGGAAAATCTTGGTGAAAAAACACGAAGTTTGCTTCTCCGCACGCTGTTATTCTACATAGACTGCTTCGTTGCAGTAGAGTTAACTAATGAGTACGTTACACGACACTAAATTCTACAGTGCATTAGATGGAGATGGAAGGCAGAACTCTTCCATGTATCTCTGTTAATGATGAAATATTGTTAAACACATCAAACTGCGGCAACGCTAAAAGGATGTGGACTCTCTTGCAGAAAGCTAGAGTATCGAAAACAGCCTTAGATCTCATCTGTACTTAACGAAATGCTTACAGCTTTTCGTAGGAAATTTATGTCGAACTTCATTTATTTTTAGAAAGATGTTTGTTGGTTCATAACGAACTTTACTAATAGAAATAAAAAACCATCAGAATCGACACATCCTTGCCAAGGAGAAATAAAATTATTTATACCGATTGCACACAGTTCTAGACTTCTGGACGTGATAAAATCATTGAAGGGAGTTTCAGTCTCGGTCTAGTTCCTGACGCATTTCTAGTACAAGAAACTACCCGGATGCGTGAAAAAGAAGTATTTGATAGCCGAAATATCTGGTCAGGAATTCGGACGTGCAACGTTTGAAGCCTCGATAGTTCGATATGTGGACGCGCGTTATTGTGGGGAAGAACTAGTGCCTTTCTGTTGATCAATGCAGAACAGTGCCGCTGAAGTTCCTGAGCATTTTGTCGATTCTCTGGATGTTCTTCTTCGCTGTAATCGTTCACTCGGATTTAGGGAACCGTGATGAATCAAGCGAGTCGTAACCCACTAAACGGTGGACATAACCTTCTCATGATGGAATTTCGGCTTGGGAAGTGTCAAACCACTGAGCCAATCGTCGCCGGTTATTGTAGAGAATCCACTTCTTGTCGTATGTAACAATACGCCCAAAAAGGGGACCATTTTGATCGCGCGATATCAAAAGACTACTATTTCTTCGATTGACATTTAATTCAAACGACACCCATCTGTGGAGCTTCCCAGATATTCCAATCGTTTTAGATACTTCGAAACAACTGAAGTCCTTATACCATATTTACTTCCACTAAACCCTTTAATTCGTCATCGAAAATAGTAGAAGGATGTCCGCCACCTCCACCTTCAAGGACGAACTCACCGTGAAGAATTTTCTAAAACAAGTTTGAACCGTACATTTCGTGACACTTCACTGGCCTTACAACCCATTGATGTTTCGAACCGTTTGCGAAGCGCACGTCCAAGCTTGAATTCATAGAAATAGACTTTACAAAAATACTATTTCGGAACTGGAATTCTAACCTTTAAGATTCCTCCCAACGGTTCACCGCCTCATCGTGGCTCGGAAGTGTTCCTGGATGACGGGCTGCAATGTACAGCGGAGGTTCACCACCCAGCAAAGCTTCCCAAGCTGAAAAATAGCCCGGCGTTTCCATTAGTACGCCCAACTGAGAGTAAGCCAATACCGGGATCCACCACCGTCCTGGTATCAAACTAGTCGCATGGTGGAAAGTCTCTCTCGTATCCAGTAAGGCCGGCGACTGCTCGTGGTGGTGGCAAGCTGGGGCAGATTTTGGTCAGGCTGACCTCAGGACTCCAGGAAACCATAATGGCTAAACCAGCAAAATATCGAAAAATGGAAATTATGGTGGAACCCGTATAGCCAGCGAAGAAGGGCCATCCAAGTATCCACGTGGGTGAGTAACCTCTAATATTTGTCAAGAACAGTTTACATTACAACAAATTAGTGGATTATTGAAACCAAATATAAATTATTGGATTAGTGCATAAAATGAGTTTTGCAGTGATATAACACAGCATTCGAAAAAAAACAAGTTAGAAAAAATAAAATTAAAAATGTGTCGTTTTCTTGTTCAGCAATCGCGAGGTTTTTAACCAGCATACATTTACTTCCATAAAAAACACAATACAATACAACGCTTGCTGACGTTTCGGCAGTATCGCCTGCTTCAGAGCCTGGAAGGATATACTGATATACAATCTACTAGGCCAAACGCTTCAATACCACTTACAAAAAGACGAAAAACTCACCGCTTTTTTCATGACTTCCAATAAGGAAGACTAGAACAGCTGATTATAGTCGTATGTGGTTGACGACTGCACCATCCCATATCAAAAATCGATGCGAACGTACGGGATTAGGTCGCGTATGACCTCCGGGTATTCATCCCTGCTATTCATTGTAGGGTTTTTGGCATTGATCCAAAAAGCCTCTAGGAGTTTTCGCGCTGGTGTTTTGGACTCCTGTACAAGGATATTGACTTTCACTTCAAAATCGTCTCCGCTACGCTTTTGTATCCTATGCGTGCCTAGTGGGGTGCTTCGTCTTAGTTTTCGTTTGCCATCTAGGTGTTCTTTTATACGGATACACAAAGGTCTGCCCGTTTCGCCAATATATTCATCGCCGCAATTATTACAAGAGATCAGGTATATCGTGCCTGAACTCATGCAATCACCGTCCCTGCCGTAAGGGCAAATTACGCAATTTGTTGTTTCACACAGACGGTCATACAGGCGGTTGCGAACTAATTGGCGACGTAGAGCAGCCGGTGGTATTTCAACTATCGCTTCCGATTCCTCTAGACTTGCCCTTCTTAAGCATCGTTTTATAGCTGCGCTTACTTCATCGCTTATAAGAACACCTCACCGTATAAAAGAACACCTAGATGGCAAACGAAAACTAATACGAAGCACCCCACTAGGCACGCGTAGGATACAAAAGCATAGCGGAGACGATTTTGAAGTCAAAGTCAATATCCTTGCACAGGAGTCCAAAACACCAGCGCGAAAACTCCTTGAGGCTTTTTGGATCAATGCCAAAAACCCTACAATGAATAGCAGGGATGAATGCCCGGAGGTTATACGCGACCTGGTCCCGTACGTTCGCATCGATTTTTGATGTGGGATGATGCAGTCGTCAACCACATGCGACTATAATCAGCTGTTGTAAACTTCTTCGTTCGAAGTCACGAAAAAAGCGGTGGGTTTTTTCGAGTTGTTGATCGTGTAATTACCATAGAGTCTTTCGTCTTTTTGTAAGTGTTATTGAAGCGTTTGGCCTAGTAGATTGTATACCAGTATACCCTTCCAGGCTCTGAAGAAGGCCGTACTGCCGAAAAGTCAGCTAGCGTTGTATTGTATTGTGTTTTTTATGGAAGTAAATGTATGCTGTTTAAAAACCTCGCGATTGCTGAACAAGAAAACGACACATTCATATTCCAATACCGAGGTTAAGAGAAAGTCGATTCTGGGAACTAAAATTAAAAATCCAACATTAATTTCCGAGCAACCTAATAATGGTTCAACTATGCCTGTTTAAATTAGAAAAGTCCAAACTAAGAACTACCGAAAGAAGTGCAGTGTAAGAAAAAGGTTCGGAGATTTCATCGTTACCAACTCCTTTATGCCATGACAATTGGAATTTCGTGAGAGTACCAAGTATTTTCCTCCATATTCTTCAACGAACCGTTGAAAGGACCAAGCGCAGTGTTTACCTCTTCGACCGAAATAGATGTGGAAATCTGGACTACTCATTTGTGCTAACATTTAACGAATACAAACAAGTGGTCCACCAGGTAATCATAGCACCATCAGTGGACGCGTTCTTTTCGACTAACTAATTTCCTAAATAATCAAGGTGACTACACCTTACATGTGTAACTGTAGCGCAATCGTATTTCGCTCGGTATTTTCAGCCATCACCTTACTAGCCGTACAACAGCCTACGACTTTTTTGGAGCAGACTACAAATCCGTTCGCCTTGCCAAGTTGCTATTATAACAGCATGACATATAGTACGACGCATTATGAGAAAAAATTGATTAGCAGTCGTCATTATCTTAAATATGAATAACTTAGGAGTAGTCTGCTCACCAGAACTACGGTTTGTTTCACAATCGCCATTGGCATAAATAATGCACGAATTTTATGAATACAATAATTATACAAATTATGAATCCAAATTCAACACATTCCTAATATTAAAAATGTGACATATAACTCACATGATGATGATGCTCTCGATGATCACACCAACTAACCCCAATGAATGTCTCGTATGTACTTCCATATATTGTGCGTATACAGGGAGACTGCGATAACCGAAAACTAGTTTCAACGTGTTAATCACTACCATTAGAAGTGAAGTACCCTATAATCAATTCAAACGATTGTAAATGAAATTTTTGTAAACGGTTAGGTGAAAATAAGGTCTTATTGACGCACAGTTAAAGCCGACAATGTGATTACTGTTGCCGGATATTTGATAAGTCGTATGATCCGCTGGAACCATCGATGCAATTTCATATTTAACGTTGCCCAAAACTAAAAGAATATCTACACTGGTCTTGTAGTAATGAAGTATAAAGATTTCCGCGACATCCACAAATCTCTCGCAAGTTGATAGAAAACTTCACGATGACATATATTAGGTGCTCCAGGTCTTTTTTTTTTGTTAAAAACTTCACAAACTTTGTTAATGTGCTGAAACCACACGAGGTTGTAAGCACGCATTTTGACTTTCAATAGCAAACGTTTTACCAAATTTGCGTCATCTAAGAAATACATCGTTAAATATCAGTGTTCCATGAACACCGCAACACCTTGATGGGAAGCCAGTGCTCACACACTAAAGAGTGATTAGGTGGTCTCACCACACAAGAAAATGCAGTCAACGGAAGAACGATGGAGACCTCTTAGCAATTTCAAAAACCTCGTGTAAACACATTAAGTACAGGTAGTAAAAGTAGGACAATTTAGTTATAAATGACGAGAATATTTGAATGTCGATTTTATTACATGCTTTATTCTATCAACCCCAGCATTTGTTTAACAAAGCGACTACTATGAGAAAGAAAACCAAACTAAAATGTACCTGATTAGTTACCGCCTTGCATCCTAATGCATCACTTGCTAAATCACTGGTATCCATACACTTTTCAAGGTATCCAGAATTGCAATCACCATTTCCACCTACCGGCGAATGTGAGGTGCTCGACTCATGCATGTGACAAGTCGATGACGATAAGAAATAATAAGAATCACCATAACCGTCAGCATAATCACCGCTACCATCCAATTCTTGAATGAAAAATAAACATCTCTTGAATCTGTTTCAAACAAGGCTTGAGTGAACTATCTTGCTACTGCTAGAAATCATACGAAGTAAAACCAACCGGAAGAAAGTACCTTGCACGGCCTCAAACGTAGTGTTGTATATCGTTGAGATTCTAAAGAACATAGTGAAGAAACATCTACAATGTCTACTATGACTCGAAAACGAAGATAACACTACGTAAAAACACATTCTTAGAAGAGCAAAGCACTTCAACCAGTGAAACTCACCATGGCTACTATTCTGAAAGCTTCCAGTTGTTCCAAGCATATGCATATTTTTGGCTCGCACCTCACAGTATTTCTCTAATCGATCCACAACCACATCTTTATGATCAGGAATCTTAAGAGAGTTCTCAAAACAAGAACACAATAATCCAAGGAAATATAAAGTGATTTTGGACTGAAGAAGAAATTAGAATATCAGAAGGTTTCAACACTTGCTTCAAATCTACAACATTTTCACAAACATCCTGAACTCCTACCATTGTCATTTCTCCTACTAGAGTAAAAATTTTTGCAAATCCAATTGGAGTCGACAGCAGTAACAGCATCACTCCAGCAAATGACACAAATGAGTAAATAAGCGGTAAATTCACAGATGTAATGGTGATTAAGGAAACCTGCAAAACAGATAGAGAGGGGAGTAGTGAGGGATTAACAGCTACTAGTCGGACACAACAAGTAGTGTACCAAGTAATTTTAGAAAGAAATAAGTAATAAAGAACCTACTGAAGACGAAATTAGTGCCAAAACGATGTCTACTAAGCAAAGGATTACAACTATTAGCAATGCACAGACTGCAAGAGTCTCATAAACTCGGTGCATGATCCCCTAAATATTTGAATAAACTATTTGAATAAACTTTGTCTTCAAAAAATGTTAGTTTTCGTAACTTACATTTTTATTCTTACTAAAGCCCTGAGATTCAATGAAGAAATAGCTAAATGGTAATAAAACAAACAGGCTAAGATTGGAGAGTGCAAATACGTAGTTCCATAAGCTATTTATCAGCGACCATGACATCCACTAAATTAGAAGCAAAAGTCAACGTTCAACATCACTGAAGAAATGTTTAAGACTCCTAATGGAATTTTAATCTTCCCTTGTTTGATTTTCATTACTTGCTTTTGATCCACGAATCACAGCTTGTAAAACAAGTGTGGTACGTACACAAAAGCATAATGCACCAATACAATAGCTTGAAAATAACCAAAGTATTTTGATATATTTAATAACCTAGATGACTATGTCTTAGATTTAGGAAATCGCAGCTACCTGCAAGTAGTAGTTATCAGGATAGCGATGAAGGAGTTCTGAACTCAAAACCGAGAACGGTAACAACGTAACTGATCCGACAGAAATCGCAAGCGAAGCCGAGCATATCCACGCACTTTGGGAGAAAAGTATGAAAAGTTACTCTTGCATACAAAAAGTAAGCAATTGATTCTTACCTAATCCTATACACAAAGTAATCTTCGTCACCTGCATATAATGAATCGCTCTCAGATTTCGACTTGAACAACGAAATCATCCAGTATGAAAGTAGATACAACGAAATGAATATGATTAAACAAATCTGAAACGAATCAAGTACACAGGAAAACGAATGATTATGCACTAAATTAGGCAACGGGACCATTAAACCAAGTGAAAATAGGAGCAGAAATTGCTACAATAAATAAAACCACTCAAAAGTATATTTACAGCTAAATTGAAATTCCTCCAAACGGTCTATGCCCTCATCGCGGCTCGTAATGTTCCTGGCTGCCGCGCCGCGATATACAGCGTGTGTATTCATCCACAAAGCAAGGCCTCCCACGCCGAGAAGCCCGGTGTTTTCATCAGGAAGCCCAATTAAGAGTAAACCAATACTAGGATCCACTACCGTCCTGGTATCCTCTCGGATCCACAAGGACGGGGACTGCCTGTGGTAGTACGGACCCGGGGCAGTCTCTGGGCACACTGACCTCGCTACTCTAGGGAGGCACAATGGCTAAGCTAACAAGACTCCGAGAAACTGGAAACTATGCTAGGGTCCGCACATCCAGTGACGACGGGCCATCCAAGTATCCAAGTAAGTAAATCAAAATTTTACAAACCTGATAATCCTTAAGGACAAACCCTACTCAATCAGAAAAAGAGCCTTACTACGTTAAAATAAGAAACTACATACAATTTGTTGCCGCACGAACTCATGAAATTCTCGTTCTTGTTTCTCCAGAGCATCACGGCGGGCTGCTTCTTCATCGGTTGATGAACCAATCAGCGCCCGCCAAAGCGTCCAATCCGTCGCACTCAATGCTGTGACTAAAGATTAGCACTACTAGATCAAAGAACAAAAAAACGGCTCTCAATGAGGCAAAATCGCCGAAATATCGGTCATTATTGCATAAATACTGTTATTAACAAGCTCTTCCCTGTTCAAGAAGAAAACACTAACTGAACAATCCCAACGTTAACATAAAGCCGGTCCTGGGAATTGAATAGAAATTAAAGGAAGTAAAGACTACTCACCCGATGAGCGACAATTAGCGCAGACTAGGCAAAGCAGTAGAAAGTGACCAAGAAGAACATTAAAATGAATAGGCTCTGTTCGTCAAACGCACTAAAACCACTAAAAAGTAGATTTAGACAGAAGTATTAACGAGGGTCTACACGAACATGTTTAAATAACGACAGAGTTTATTAGTATTTGCTTTCGAATGTACGAAACAAACTGATAGAAATCAAACTCTTAATAACTCAAAAGGGCCGACTTTCTATAGACCTCGGCATAAATGATCGGTATTTCCATTTATTTACACGTTCTTACGAAGTGTCCTTGTTGCTGGAGCTCCCACTCGTAGCAGTACGGCTCGAAAAGGGGAAAATCGTCGAAACAGCCATCGACCAACAACAACGAAGATGACAACTTATACCGATCTCTTATCGGGTCAACAATGGCAGTTCGTGAGAACAGACAAGTAAATAAATACTATAAATCTCCTTTCCTACGTAGTGGACTTGAAACAACGTCGAACACCTATGACTTGTCATGGGCAATGCAGTGCTCTCTTGCTCTGTACTTTCAATGCGTTGGTAATGCAAATAGAGAGTGCACATGTTTATACTACGTTAAAGGACGCACGTACCTACATACTACGGCGCAGAATTTGGGAACAGAGCAGCTGAAAGCAGCCAGGTGCATCGTCACACCAACACTTCGGATTTTACTTACTTCCGTGGATACTTGAATGGCCCGTCTTCAATGGCTGTGCGGGCCCACCATGATTTCCAATTTTCGTTGTTTTGCTGGTTTATCCATTGTGGTTCGCTGATGTTCTGAGGTCAACCTAAAAAAAATTTGTCCAGGTCGTCACCACCGCAGGCAGTTGCCTCCCTTGTGGATCAGAGGAAGATTTGGTACCATGCAACGCGACTAGTTTGATACCAGAACGGTGGTGTATCCTGGTATTCGTTCACTCTTAGCTGGACCTCCTAATGGAAACGTCGGACTCCTTCTCAGCTTGGGAGGAGTGCCGGAGGGATGAAACCCCCCACTGTACCTCGCAAACCTAGGAACATCTTCCACCACGATGAGCGATAAACCGTTGGGAGGGTGAGGATTCCTTTTCAATTTTATTTTATATGATCCGCCTTCATGTCTACTTTGAGGATCCCAGCTCTTTTCACATTCGATTCGTTTCCTCGCATCCATTGTCCACGAAGATGTCCCAACTGTTTATGTGTGACTTCGGTTGCTGCTTGAGGATTTTCATTTGATCTTGGATGCCATAGAATGCTGGTCGAGCAATTCTCCCTGAAGTCCTGATATTGCCGGGTTGGAGCGTTCCCAACTGGATTGCGGAGAGTGGCTTTTATTTCACACAAGTCCGGTACCAATTTCCCGACCCCGGGGGCATGAGAGGTTTGGTTGGCTCGGAGCGGAGTCGACCTAGCACCATGCTCGTGGTGGTAGGCACCTCTACCACTGTGCTATCTTCCCCCTGGGTAAAGATTTTTAGCGTACTTATTGAAGAAAAACATCGAATTATCAATCAATGCCGAGGTTAACAAAAAGTCGGTCTTGGGAATTGCTACGTGAAGACTTTAGAGTGGTTTTGTCAGCAACTTCGTAACCGGGGACAGGTAGAAACGATGCAATAAAGCAAAGACTTTAAAATATGGTGGGATTTTTTATGTCAATGCAGAATTTCTTATAAGTGGTCGACTTACAAATTGCCTTTCGACAGCACCAAACTTGGGAAACTAAGCCATTATATAAACGAGGTACTCACGCAATGTAAAACTCACGAATGGATATAGGTTTAACAATAATGGATTACTGTGCATAACCTTTTTTATTATAAACATGAGAACGAATGGGGATGTACAGAGTGATCTCTACATATAGTAACTTCTCTAATTCTAAAAACCTTATTTCTCAGCGCGGATCGGGCAAACATTAGTGCCTACGTTAAGGTCACGTTCACTTGATATCGCGGGGATGTTAACACAATGTATATTCCACAACAAGTATTAAAGGATTTCGTCTTCTTCAAAAAAAGAAAGCCTTTCATATTCTAACGAATTGCACGCACTTTCTATAGAATAATTACATATTGCCGACGATCATTCCTAAGCGTCAACTAGCCTCAGAGATGAATTGAAATTGCCTTGACAGTGAAACTGAATGCTCTTCTAAATTACTGAGTCTGCACGAGTTTAGTGTGAAAATATCTATTCGGCTAACGTTTCGACGTCTTCGCATTCCTCAGAGCAGCATTAATACAAGTCTACAGTCAAGTGTTGTTACGATGTACATATTCGTCTTCGCATTGAGTCAAATCATATGGAGTGAAGCACCCCTTGAAGTAAATTAGTCCTCCATTAGACCATGAGGTGACGGGAACAATAGGTCGTATCGCAATAGGTATTGATGCTTCCAATGGTGTAAGTGTGATAGAAAACATTGAAAAAAAAAAGTAGAAAGTTATGTATTCTTGCATCTGCCGTAAGCTGTGGCTTCACTTCTTGTTATTCAGAACCGTATTTATTACTTTTAGTTCCTCTAGCTTTTGCTAACAATTAAGGTCGATATAAATATCCCAACTGTGTCGGTGTATTTCCAACTAAGCCTTCGACTTCCTAACAAGGTGAGTTCTTTCTCATCTCCAATTGCTTTGCAGAATAACTGAAGTTACAAATCGTCTACGATAGATGGACATTTGATCGGGAGCATTACTCCTCTTACCGTACATTTCTGCAGACTTCTCTTTCTGCTTCCGATCATTGATTTTCAGATATAGCTAGTATTCAGCTAATGTTTCGAACGGATTTTACAAGAATAGCTAATTCCACGCACTTCATAAGAAGGTGTATTCCTGGCCTCCAAATGATTTTGTTACCTAATTCACGGGAAGGACTGACACTCGTTGATTCATTTCACGCGTGCGAACCGACTGAATAACATGATGTTTTTCATTCACTACATAATTTTTTTTTCACAGCAAGGTAATATGTTAAATACTACCACAACGGTGCTGATTTATGAGCAAAACTTGGAACCTTAGGTGGACTTCGAAGTTGAGACTACGCGTAAAAAATAGGCAGTAAATAAGGAGTTAAGCATCATATTTTCAAATATTGCTTCAGCTTAGCAAAATTCAATGTCCACTTGTGCTTCCCAGATCATTCCCGTTGGCGGGTGATTGCAGATAGCACTGTTAGAGTTTTAAAAATTAGCTGAGAGAAGACCATATGTAACGTTCATTTGTTCTTGTCATTGTCAACAAAGTATTGCCCTCAACACCTCTCTGTCTCTCTCACTTTCTTTTGATTTTGAATGTGGAATTAATCGCTAGCTTAAGACATTTAGAAGTAGAAATTGCCTTAACAGCCTGCAAGTCATAGTGACTCTGTGGTGATCCCGGGTATACAGCGGGGATTTATAGTGCTGAGAACATCCTCATCATGGTCTCGGAATCCGAAGTTTTCGACTTGCGAGATGTTTAGTCCTTCTTATTCAATAGTCATGCTAGAGATATACCACCCGAAGCAGGTATCAGCGTTTATACCTGCATGTGTAGCGTGAAAGAATAGATCAGTGGTTTCTACTGGCGTTAAACACTTGTTGAACATTATATTTCTCTTTGAGAGCGGGTAATGCAGTATTAGTTATCCCGTTCATTACGTGGATGGTCCAATCCAACGTACCCAGGTCCTGATGGAATCCCGCTCGGTGCCCGTCAAGCCTTAAACCACGCTGGTCTCGGTCGGGAAACTAGTATCAGACTTGTCTGGGATAAGGTGAATCCTTCTAATACACGTGGGAACGCTATCGTCCAGCTATCCTAGGACTCTAGGGAGAATCGACTCGACCAGCACTCAATGATATTTGTGACGGACATGGAAAAATTCTCAAACAGCAGTTGAAGCCACGTTCAAAAAAGAGCTCGAAGACGCTCGCGTATGGTGGCTGCGAGGAAACGAATCGAATGTAACGAATACCGGAATCTGATTCCCAGTGTAAATGTTAAGGTAGGCAGAACCGCAGAGCCGAAAGGGTGACTGAGGAACACTAGGGTCTTGAGCCTACTGGCTTACTCCTGCTCTGGAGCTAAGTCGCTTATGATGCTGACTTCTCGAGCGTAGATATATCGCTAGAAGAGCATTTGGAATTGTTCATTACTTTAAGCGCGAATAGCATACGAGGAACGAATCCGCTTCTTATGGACATCGTCTTCTTTGGATTCTACAGTAGAACAATCATTCCAAGGTACACCAATTTTCTGTCTTATAGTCGTCCTAGTAGGGTAACAAACCATTCTAAGATTCATAAAAAGTGATGGATACCTGTACTGACGGTATTTGAATTCGTTGGTACGTATTTCTTGGGAATTCAAGGAAAAGTGCTGCCAAACTGGCGGCACGTGGGCACACGGCTGTTCAGCTCAAGTGACGTAAAACGTTCACAAATCTGCAATCGAAATAGTGCTTGATATTCTTTACACAGCTACAGCACCACTCCATGTCATTTTTCACGGAGTCACAGCGCACACCAAAACCGTCCCAGAAAGTATCACCACTGGAAAAAAAGTGACCTTCATATCCTTGGATTGGATTGGATTGGTTTCACGCATCATCCGTCCCAAAATCGTACCGAGTCCATTTGTGTGATAGCGTCTCAGTTCTGGTTAGTTCCATTCCTAAAAGTTCAAACCGAACCGGAACGTAGCAGCTGCATTTGTACGGCCCGAGATCGGCAAGACGTGCTCCGTGTGCTTTCGAAGGACCACCGCCCGCAAACCGCAGCCGACCGCGCCGCGTCAGCTGATGCGACGCGGTCGGTCGTGCGAGCACCTGCTGGATATCTATCGGCCTAAAATTCATTCTCTATAGCTGAGATGTTCTTGATTTCTCTGAGACATTTTTCTTTGCGGTAGATATTTTAACCCAGTTAAATGTCACAGTTTCTTATCACTTTCATTTTGCTGTATTGATTGTAACAAACTGGAAGAGGAGTAGGGAAATTATTTCAACTATGCCGAGCGAAGTGAGAATGAATAGCGTAGGTTTTAACAGTATTGCCAATTGTTGTCCAAAAAAGACTGACTAGGCGTATACCGGTCGCGTCTTCGTTCTTATATTTGGAGTACGTCTTCATTGACTTAAAAACTAGACCAAATTTGCTCTGAGGTTTATCAGGAATCACAGTTAATCATGCTTGTGAAGAGTTTTCGTTTAACTTTTAGAACTAGTTTACTTCTACTAAGTTCATGGAAGTCTGCTTCTGCAGGTAATACTTGGCGAGGTGGCGAGTGCGCGTACATCCAAAGACGACTAAATCAGGTGCAAATATGGTGCGATCAGAGAGTGCTGATGAGGAGGTGGCCATCGCGGAGAAGTTCGATCCATCCACCTTGGCAGAACACGACGATGACGAGGATTTCACGCGACAACCAATCTGGTCGAGCAGCGATGCTGGCGTTGAATCTGATAAAAGAAATGCGGTGCTACCGGCCAGGTGCGCTTCCATCTACTCATTTAATCCATCAGTTTGTGTACGCAGTTTTTGCTCTGATTGAGCAAGATTGCCAGATCTAACGCACTTTAATTTTAAACTTTGTGATAGGATCGTTGGGAACTACATATTTTATAAATTAGTGCTCATCCTTCCATTTAATTCACCTTGTATGGTCTGCTTCGATCCGGTTAATGAAAATGCTACGGTTTAACAAAGAGTGGAGTGACGTTATGCTCATGAGGGTTACAATATGGTGTATTTAGGGATCGTATTTGTTCTTCTTTGCATAGAATTTGATATTAAAATTGTCATATCCGTGTACACGTGTGTATTCCTGAATATATCTGATTGCATTTGAATGCAATTCGGCCGTAAAGCCGCAATCAAGTGACCTTCTGTGGAGAGCAGTTTGATGTCTTTCACAAAAAGAATTATCGACTTCGAGAAAGCCGGCAAGTGTCCATGAGCATATCCATTTCCTACGGGAGAGCAAGACGACACTTGTAGGTGCACCGTTCCAAGAAACGCATGCTTTAAGTGTGACGTTGCTCGTATACCTAGAGCAGGTGGTGACTTTTGACTAGATCCTGTACAGACCAAAAAATAGAGGGTTTGTTAGTAAGCCTTGATTCGTCATATTATTTATAATTACCTAGATCATGTTTTTCATACATTTTATATCAGAGGACGGTAGAACACAGAGGTGCAGTATTATGTCGGTAAGAAATGTAAGATATGACTTATAAGCGTTGCACATAGTTCCACTAAAAGCTACGCAGATATTTGTGATTTACCGACTATATTGTGGATTTATTTCGTTATGATTTTCGTTATATCACGTTCAAAGCGAAGAAGAATGTATTACTTTCCCTTTTTCAAAGGCTTGAGTTTCACTCGTTTTTGGTCATACCTCGTTGAAAATAATATTCGTATAATATGCCGCTAAGCAGAATTTGCGTCGCCATGATGAAGTTAGGGGTGGGTGTAGTGTAGTGATTAGAGGCGCCCTGTTATATAAATGGGTTCGGTCCCACGCCTAGGATTACTAGGCCCTCCACCTCCAGGGTTGGCTAATCGTTACCAAATTCCCGAACTTGCCTAAAAGCATGGCAGCATTGACTTGATACATCGATAGGCGACGGCAAGTTATTGCATGGACCAGACATAAATTTTCATTACTTGTAACGATGCTTAATGAATTCGAATGCGTGGCACATCCTTCAGGAATTAATCAACACCGAGAGCTCTAGAACTTTCTATGGTGGAGATGTCTAGTGTAATCGCCCGAAAGTTCCAATAAATAGGCGTTTAGTAGTCTGAGTAGGCAGTAAATAATAAGCCAAAATTGTGATTATAACTACAGCCTCAGCTTAACTGGGTTCGTTGCCGATCTGAGTTCCCCAGATCAATCCCGCTAACGGGTGATTGCTGATGGCAAAAGATCGACAGAACTAGTTGACAGGCGAAACGAAGGACTCGCATGGTGTGGTGGTGAACGCGTTGCTCCACGGGAGGGACAATAGCGCGTTCGTTCCCCACCGCAGACACCTGCGGTCCGGAGTTTTGCAAATATCTCAGTATCGTTGAAGTTATATTTCGCAGTATGCCCTACCATTAAAAAAAGATTAGGCAGCAAATAAAACGGTTAAGACAGGTTTTTGTTGTAGTGATTATGCATCTATGCAGGTGGTGATTGCATTGTCTGTGGAGACTTCCATGATTCTAGGCCAATATCGCGCTCAGTAACGTCATTGTCTCCAAACTCGAGCGATCCAGATAGACGTTTGAGGCGGCAAATTGCAAATTGCAACGAAAGACGACGCATGCAGTCTATTAACGCCGGCTTTCAATCGTTGAGAGCACTGCTTCCTCGGAAGGTGAGCATTTGATGTGGTTATGTCGAAGTAACATTCGATGTAGTTGTTAAGAATAAAAAGACTAGAATTTTTCCAGGAAGGTGAAAAGTTATCCAAGGCAGCTATTCTGCAGCATACTGCAGATCTCATTCAACAGCTTCAAAATGAGCGCTCGCGCTACATTGATAACGAAGAAGTTGGAGGGAAAAAACCGAAAATTGAAGGTTCGTTTATTTTTAGCAATATTCAAGAACACTTAAATGAAAAGGAAATAGGATAGCATACGTCTTCAGCAAACAATCCTCATCATCAATTTGCTCCAGTTCTTAGATGGTTTTCGTTTTTAGGCAAATGTGTATTTGTTTATAGTGAGCTTCATTAACTGAAACAATATCTGTTGCGATTAGTAGCTCTCTGACTTAGATTTGTACTTCGTGCAGATCACTTTTTTTTGTGGAAACATGTGTTCTTAGCGTTTAAGCAGGATACAATAGTATCTTCCTATGTTTCGTTGATGCTCATGCAGCTGCGAATGCGTCAAGAATTCTTGAAGTCTAAATCACGTCTTGAAATTTGTGATCTGAGTTTCTTAACAAATGTGCGATTGAAATGACGAAAATAACATATTGAGAAGATTAAATAATCACTTAGAGCAAAATTTCTAGTGTATAGTATATGTCCGTAAAGCTTTCGCGTGAGTACTGTTGTTATCGACTACTTGTCAGGAGTTATGATAAAAATAGCTGTGTTAAGTGGGTGTTCAATCTGTCATCTGTTATTATGAAGTATTTCTTCCGATTTTTGGAACCAGTCGTTTGTTATTGTGATTTTTTAGATATAACTTTCAGCTATAATATGAACAGTTGACCAAGTATGCTTGTTTAGTGGACGACTGTGTAGAATTTGATCAGCAGCATTCGGTGATTGGTCGTCTGCAATTGGCATTGGAGCGAGAGCGTACAGCTCGTATGTTTCTTGAGCAGGAGTTAAATCAATTGCGAGAAATGTACAAAAATGGACTTGGTGGAACAGCCACCATAAGTCTTACCAGTCGTGCACAACACTCACAACAAAACCAAGATTCAGTAGTCACTATCGGGCCAAGAATCACTACAACGAGAACGACGATAAGCGTGCCTGATTCCGTGGTTCGCCCTACTCCTTTGATTGCACCAATTTCGGGTGAGTTTTTTTTCAAAATCTTTGGATAGGTGACGGATTGGAAGGTTGTAAATGTCTTTAAGGCTATTCTAATATTCTTGGTGAGCCATCATTAGGTTGTTAACGCGATGTTTATTTTTCTCGTATTTTTTCTCCGTCTGACTCGAGTATGAAACAACGCAAAAAAAATCAATAGCTAGGGAAGAGATGAGATTTACCGTTCCGTGTTTTTTCTCTAACCCTCTCTGAACAGCTGTTGTCGGACAGAGGTGTTAACACAAACTTATGTGATGAAATAATGTTCCTGTAGTTTTAAATTACGATTCTTTTATTGGTAAGCCAACACGAGATTGGTAAACAGTCTTATTCGATTGGCCTCTCGACGTCTTCGTTTTCCTCAAAGCTGATCATCTAAGTCGATTTTCACAGCCGTCTATACTTGCGATGTGTTTTTGTCGTCGCATCGAGTTATGTATTCTTCAGGAGAGCACAGCTTAAATGATGCAACCTCACCCGGCGGTGCTCCTATAGACAAGACGGTTGTTGTTGATAATATTTGATTGTCTGGTGGTGTGGACTTGGTTGTTTCCGAACAATCCTGCAGAAGTCGTTGTCATTATCAGCTGGCACAAAATTTCAAATTCTCTGTTATAGTTCAGATGGAATTAAGTAGCAATGTCACAAAGGAATTCAGTTGTCATATTCAACAATTTTTTGCGTTACTTGCCTGCAAAGTAATGGGACTACGATCAAGTGGCGGTAGATATGGCTAAGTAATCACTATTTCTTAGTTGAAAGTCAAGAAAATTGGATTGCTTTTTACGATGTTACCTTTTCTCGTCCAGTTTAAAAGAGTTATGGAATCATCGTTGAAGACTAATTGGAGTTCCCAAGATCGACTTTCTCTTAACCTCGGCATTGGAATATGAATGTGTCGTTTTCTTGTTCAGCAATCGCGAGGTTTTTAAACAGCATACATTTACTTCCATAAAAACACAATACAATACAACGCTAGCTGACGTTTCGGCAGTATCGCCTTCTTCAGAGTCTGGAAGGGTATACTGATATACGATCTACTAGGCCAAACGCTTCAATAACACTTACACAAAGACGAAAGACTCTTTGGTAACTACACGATCAACAACTTCTCGAAAAACCCACCGCTTTTTCGTGACTTCCAATGAGGAAGTTTAGAACAGCTGATTATAGTCGCATGTGGTTGACGACTGCACCATCCCACATCAAAAATCGATGCGAATGTACGGGATCAGGTCGCGTATGATCTCCGGGCATTCGTCCCTGCTATTCATTGTAGGGTTTTTGGCATTGATCCAAAAAGCCTCTAGGAGTTTTCGCGCTGGTGTTTTGGACTCCTGTGCAAGGTTTCACTTCAAAATCGTCTCCGCTATGCTTTTGTATCCTATGCGTGCCTAGTGGGGTGCTTCGTCTTAGTTTTCGTTTGCCATCTAGGTGTTCTTTTATACGGATACAGAAAGGTCTGCCCGTTTCGCCAATATATTCATCTCCGCAATTATTACAAGAGATCAGGTATATCGTACCNGACTTCCAATGAGGAAGTTTAGAACAGCTGATTATAGTCGCATGTGGTTGACGACTGCACCATCCCACATCAAAAATCGATGCGAATGTACGGGATCAGGTCGCGTATGATCTCCGGGCATTCGTCCCTGCTATTCATTGTAGGGTTTTTGGCATTGATCCAAAAAGCCTCTAGGAGTTTTCGCGCTGGTGTTTTGGACTCCTGTGCAAGGTTTCACTTCAAAATCGTCTCCGCTATGCTTTTGTATCCTATGCGTGCCTAGTGGGGTGCTTCGTCTTAGTTTTCGTTTGCCATCTAGGTGTTCTTTTATACGGATACAGAAAGGTCTGCCCGTTTCGCCAATATATTCATCTCCGCAATTATTACAAGAGATCAGGTATATCG